CCGCCAGATCCACATCAAACCTTCCCAGATCCACATCAAACCCTGCCAGATCCAAGTTAAACCCTGCCAGATCCACGTTAACCCCGCCAGATCCACGTTAACCCCGCCAGATCCACATCAAACCCTGCCAGATCCACATCAAACCCTGCCAGATCCACATCAAACCCTGCCAGATCCAAGTTAAATCCTGCCAGATCCACGTTAACCCCGCCAGATCCACGTTAAGCCTGCCAGGTCCCCATCAAACCCCGCCAGATTGATGTTCCAGGATGGGAACTCCTCTCCCTGCACTTGGGGGGAAAGCTGGAATTCCACCTCAGGCTCCAGGCTGGGAACTCACAAACTGCACCTGAGGCTCTCATCCCACCTCCCGCACCCAGGGGCTCCGTGTTTGGAGGGGAAGGTTCCGAGGGAACCTCTGAAAATCCAGACCCAGCCCTGGTACAGATTCCCAGAGCAGCTGGGGCTGCCCCTGGATCCCTGGAATGTCCCAGGCCAGGCTGGATGGGTTTGGAGCAGCCTGGGACAGTGGGAGGTGTCCCTGCCATGGCAGGGGTGGCTCTGGATGTGCTTTAAGGTTCTCCCAGCCCATGGGATTCCATGATTTTAGACAACCTCAGCTGCTCTGAGGTACCAGTTTTTTATTCCTGCCTTTCCCTTTTTCCATGCAGGGATGTTTAACGCTGATGCTGTTCCATAAACACTGGGGATATTTAAGAAGCACCAGGAGATTTCTAAAGTCAAGCTATGAACAATCAGGAATTCAATAATTGAAACAGTCCAGGCAACCTTAAATCAAACCTTAAATCAAACCTTAAATCAAACCTTAAATCAAACCTTAAATCTTCTGGGTTTGTGCAACACAACAGCTCATGCCTGCCTGGTCCGTGAGCCAGAAGCACTCACAATCCCAGAATCCCTGAGGCTGGAAAAGTGCTCTGGGATCATCAAATTCCAGCAGTGTCCAATCCCCACCTTGTCCCCATCCTGGAGCCCTGAGTGTCACCTCCAGGGATGGGGAGTCCATCCCTCCCTGGGCAGCCCCTGCCATGGGGAAATTCCTGTCCATCCTGAAGCTCTGTCCTGACCCCACTGGAGGCTGCAGCAGGAGCTCTGAGGAGCCTCATCCCAGCACCACATTCCCTTGGGATCTCCCCTCCATCACCTCAGGACAGTGAAGGTCTCTTTTTCCCTGAACAAGGGGAAAAGGGATGAAAACCTGGAGTGGGGAATCCTGCCCAGACCTCACCAACGGGAGCAACACAGACACGTTCCAAACAAAGCGTGGACAGCCGAAAACGCACAATCAGAATTTCCTTTCCTTCACTCACAGCCACTCATCCCACCAAAAAAATAAATAAAAAAATTCAAAGAATCAAATTTAAAGAAGCCAGGAAAGCGTGGCACAGACTCCCCGAGAGCAGCAGCCAGCCCTGCCCATCCCCAGGGATCATCCCAGAGCTCCCAGCAGGATCACCCCCAGCACAAAACCTCACCCCTGCTACTGCCAACAATTCCCTGCTCATTTTCGCCATCCTGGGCGTGCAGTTCCATTGCTCTAATTACATGGAATTAATTCCTAATTGCTCAGCTAATTTCTGGGTTTGAAAGGAAGGATGTGCAGGACGTTCACCACACCCACACACCGCTGACCTTGAGCCTTGATGTCCAGAGATGAAAGGAAAAAGGAAGGAAAAATGGGGTTTGTGTCTAAGGTGGAGCTTTGTGTTTGTGCCACTGACCCACAGACAGAGCAGGACAAAAGCTCCTTGAAGCCTCATCACGTCACAGAGACACCACAAGGTTTTGCCAAGAAAACACTTTTTTTTTTTTTTGTAAAAAAAAGCCAAAATCTGCCACTTGTGGAAATTGGGACTTCCATTTAAGCCCTGGTAACTTTCTTCGGGAAGAAATACACTGGCTGGCTGGCTGGATGAATAAAATAAGCCGAGTTTCTAATAAAATAAATAAAACATCCCAAACAAAAGCTCCTGGTGAGGCTGGGGGGGAAGGACATCCCTGCTCCCCAGCCTGCCCGGGTGAACCCAGCTCATCCCCCGGCCTGGGCTCTGTCCTGGAGCAGGGGCTGGGACAGGGAATGACATTCCCGGGATGAAGCAAGGACAGAGGGAGGTGCTCTCTCCTCTGTGCCAGCTCTGCCACTCCTTCGCAAGGTGCTGATTTCACAGCGATTCAGGGAGAAACAAAACAAGGCAGAGCAGCAGAGAGGGAGAAATCTCTGCGTCCCACAGGAGGGAGGGAGGGGCTGGAGAGGCAGAAAGAGCCGGAGCTGCCCCAAACCTCTCTCCAGAGGCTGTCAGGGGTCACAGGCTGGGATTTTCCCGGCTCTCTGCCCACACCCACCCCTGTCCCAGGTAGGTCACACTGCCGTGCCCCCCGAACCCGGCCGGGAAAGGCTTTTGGGAGGATGCAGAGATGGGAGCTGAGCCCAGACAGGTGCGACAGAGCCCCAGAGCCGAACCCCAGCCGAGTTCTGCGGGGAGCCCATCCCTGCAGAGCTCACAGCCCCGCTTGGAGCCCCCAGCAACGGGGGGATTCATGGCGTGTCCCCCACAGGACAGCACAACCCTCCTCTTCCTCACCCTCCTCTTCCTCACCCTCCTC